TGACACCGGAGCTCTGCTGCGGGGAAACTTTGGCGCTGTTCTGAGACGGACTGCTTTCAGATTTTTCCGTCATTGTCAAAAGAATTCGGAATATATTCGGTTAACGCGACCTCTGGTATGGAGTCACAGGAGTGCCTTATCGAAGAATAATAAGGTTAAAGAAGAAGACAACTATAAAGAAAATGAAACAGATAAAAAAAATAGGGAAAAATACAACTAAATGAATACATCTAATTGTTTCATTATTTAACTTCAAGTTTTAATATGAATATATGATACTTTCACTAACTTTGTTTATTTAATGTTTGCTTATCAATTTTGCTACTAAAGAAATAATTAATGTGTGATGTCATGTGACCCACCGATAATGTCAGCGATGCCGAGGCCGAGTTCGTCGACGGTGGAGTTCGCTGGGAGCTCCTCTTCCTTTCTCAGCAGCATGAGGCGATGGGGAGGGGCGTCTAGGATGACGGATAGCCGAGTCAGCACGTCACTTAAAGGCGTCGACTTAAAACAAAAACAAACCCTGTGTTAAACAATGTAACGGTCGACATCTTAACATACTGCTGCTCATATCATACTATCAGAACTGTAATTTCGTAACAGCTGCTCCATCTTGGAACTTGATAAAAATAAAATGAAATAATAAAAAATGTATAGAAAAATAAGAAGTAGGAAAAAAAAGTATAAAGCTTATAGTTCAAAAATAAATAAAATAGGGAAAATAAGCATACGTACCGACAGCACAGGGATCTTGTGTACGTGTGTCATGCAGCGGATCTTGAGTGGGATTTCCCGTAACGACTCGCTGTACGGAAAATTCTGAGCGCCAGAATTCGGGGTTATGCAGATGATATCATCGTCTTCCTCCATGAACTGCCGTCTTCTACGTTCAGGGGACTCTAAAGTGTTGGCCGCCCTCAGCTTTATGTTGATCTTACTGACGATCAAAAACACACAAGGTTTTATTTATTTTGTGTAAACCACTTTGAGTGACATGAATTGTGCTATATTTATTATAGATGTCACAATTCAATTTTAAAGCAAGATCTGCAATTCCCCTGGTTATACGGATCCCTCCCCACCCTCCCAACCTGAAAGTCCCGCTTACAAAACTTTCTCTCTGTGCTACTTATGAAGATTTTTTTCATAGATATATGCAGAATTTATGAGATAAAAAATGTTGATGTCACAAGTCATTGCTGAACCTTCATAAACTAGATGAAGCAAGGTTGCATAGCAAGGTACATAAATCAGACACAATTCTGAATTGAGATGGGTGACTAGAGATATCAGCTGAAGAGCCACGTATTGGGTAGCACAGGATCCAGACTCACTTGATCATGTTCTTGGCATGTCTGGACTGAAGCACCTCCGGACTCCCTGGAGGAGACGGGGAACTAAAGATGGCCCTGGAATAAAAAAGGTAAGATAGGTAAGGTTAAGAGTCTTTGAGTTTTTAGAAAAGCGCCGTATAAGTGTCATGTATTATTATTATTATTATTATTATTATTATTATTAAGAGAACATTTACATTTTATCTTAAAAGCTTTAAGTCTTATTAAAGTAGAAGCCACAAATGACACATATAAATGCAGATTTATTGATTTTAGTATGAGCCATTTATGTTTATGTTTATATATAATATATATTTAATATATTGTGCAGTGTTATTTTGGGCAATTGGGCCTGAGTGACAGGAAAGGGAGCGCATTAATAAATCAAATCAGGTTTTATTTATATAGCATATTTTAAAAACGATTTTTGGTCGAGCCAAAGTGCTGTACATGCAAATAATAAATAACACATTACTACAATCGCAAACAGAAGACAATAAATTACAACAGGAATATAAAAAACACAGGGAAATGTCATGAGTTGTGCTCCGCTCTGACTAGAAGGCCAGGGAGAAGAAGTGAGTTTTTAGTGTAGATTTAAAAACCCCTAGGGTCTGGGCTGACCTCACATGGAGGGGCAGAGTGTTCCAGAGCCTGGGGCCAGCTGCTGCGAAGGCTTGGTGACCTCAGGTTTTTAGCGTGGTCTTGGGCACTACCAGCAGCAGCTGGTCAGCAGACCTTAAAGCTATGGCTGGGGTGTAGCGATGGAGGAGTTCTGCTATATAGGCTAATAGAAAGATTCAACATCAAACTAGTTTAACTACTTACGGTTGTGTTTTCTTCAGAAGCACTTCTGTTTCGTCTTCCTCAGAGTCAATGTAGCAGACGGCGGTTGTTCTGCTGATCGGAGGGGAAAACTGAAACCATAAACTGTCGTCTGCCCCGTCGTCTGCCCAGAGACGAAGACAGTCACATTTACAGATTAACACCAGATTAACACCTTCCAGACACTGGGTTTAAATCTTGTTCAAATATTTACCTGAGATTTGCTTTTGAGTGAAACTAGCTGCTGTTGGCTTCAGCTGCAAACCGTTGCTTACCTGATTAAAAAGACAAAGTCAGGTAATTAAAAACATAATTATAAAGTTTTAGAAAGGGAAAAAACTAAGAATTTCCAAGATTAAAGTCAAGGTATCGTTGGGATTATTATTAAGGTAAGTATATTTATATAGCAAATGTTCAGACATAAGGGCAATTCAGAGTGCTTTATATCAAAACCAATACACAATAGTTAAGAGAGAAGCAAAACAAAAGAAACACAATAAATAAACACAATGGAATAACAGATTCAAAAAGACCATTCATAAAAGAGTTACAGGGTAGTTTAAAATCAACATTGTAAATACGGATAATGCTGCAAGAAGTGTAAGGATAAAACAAAGTTAAATTACTTCTGGGTAAGCAGCAGTACAAATAAATATTTTTAACCTCAACTTAAAAGAACTCGAGGTTGGTGAGGACCTCAGGCTTTCTGGGAGAACTCAGACTTCTTGTAGGATTGTACATTTAAGAAATGTTTGCAATTTTCTTTTCTGTTAACAAAACCTCATCAATTCATCAACTCCAGCACACCAATTTGTGCGCTTATTGTGAAATGTATCACTTAAGTCAGAGAAAATTTAAAAGTTATTCCTGTAAATGTCTAACTTCTTTGTGTAAATGTACTCCTTTAACATCAGACTGCTTGAACATGCTTGAACATTCAACCTTTTCTCTCTTAAATATCAGAGAATATTGGATTTTTCAGTAGAAATATTTAATTTCAAATTATATTTGACATAAATGTGTGATTTGTTTCTCGGCCTTTTATTTCTCATCTATAATGGCTCGTATACCGAATGGCCCACCAGCTGCTGTGTACCTGGTTGGTGTAAACGGGGACCGAGATTATGGCTGAAGGGTCGAGGATGCGTCTGCGTTTGGGCTGAGGATTCACAGCCTCCTGCTCCTCGTCAGACACCTAAAAAGCAGACAGACGGAGACAATAGGAAAAATGGAAATATCCAGTGAGCGACAGTTATCTGGGCGAAAATGCCTTGCTGATGCCAGAGGTCAGAGGAGAATGACTAGACTGGTCCAAGATGATAGAAAGGCAACAGTAACTCAAATAACCACTCGTTGAAACCAAGGTATGCAGAAGACCCTCTCTGAACCACAACACGTGGAACCTTGAAGCAGAGGGGCTACAGCAGCAGAAGACCTGGGGCCTCATTTATAAAAGGGATATACGCTCAAAAAATGGCGTACGGCAGTTTCTCCGCAATGTTTGCGATTTATAAAATACTAACTTCACGGGAAAACGTGCGGTCCTCCACGCAAACTCTAACCCATGCGTACGCCCCAGATAGCAAGCGGATGTGGCCCACTTCAGGCAATGATGCGGCACTGCTGACCTTCTTCTGGCCCGTACCAAACGGATGTGTGTCTAAAGTGGCCCACTTGTAAAATAGCAAATATGGCCCACATATCCCAAAGCAAATGTGGGCCTTTTTTGGCAAAGATGCGGGGCTCCTGCAATGTGTAATCTGGATGTCACCCATATGGGAAATTATGAATATGGCCCAAATATCACAAAACAACTGTGGGCCACCTTTGGCAAAGATGTGGCAGAATGGACAAAGGCTAATCTGGGTGTAAACCAAAAGTGGCCCATATATGATGAAGCAAATGTGGCCCAGTTATCTTAAAACATATCTGGGCCAGTTTAGGCAAAGATGCGGCACAGTAATCCGGATGTGAACCTAAAGTGGCCTACATATGACATGGCAAAAATTGCCCAAATACTTTACAACAAATTTGGACCATTTTTGGCAAATGTAAGGCACAGTCAGCACTGGCTAATCAGACTGTGAGCCTAAAGTGGCCCACATTTGACATGAAAAATATGGCCCAAATATAAACAAACAGACGTGGGCCACTTGTGGTAAGGATGCAGCACAATTGGTACCGGCAAATGTTGATATGAGCCTGAAGTGGCCCACAACTGATGCAGCAAATGTTGCCCGGTTATCTTAAAACATATGTGGGCCACTTTTGGTAAATATACGGCACACTTTTGGCGAGGATGCAACACTTTTGGCACAGG